TGCGCTTGAATTCTGTCATATTTTCAATCACACTTGGCTGCAAAGAAGCGTACGCAAGAAAAAGTCTGCTCAATATTTTTAATCAGAAAAGTGAGAAATCCCTTGCTTTTCATTTTAACTTTTGCTACAGCTCCATATGAACACATCTTTCTTGCTCTTTTCTACAGTATTAGGGATTCAGACTTCATTATTACAGGATCCCCAAAAAATAGTGTTATTTCTTATGAAATAAATGGTTTAATATTTACTCTAGATAATTTAAAACAATAGCTATAATGTAGTAATTGCATTACTAATGATGGCAGGAACTTTAGTAAATGCAGAGCTTGTCTTTTCATTTACAAATTCTACATCAGAACATCCCACCTAGCCTTTGAATATCAGAGGAAAGATCATAACAACAACAGCAATTCAATGAGCTACTCTTTTTAGCTGTAGAAACACAGAAACTTCTTAGTATTTCAGTCATAATGGCTAATACATCCACATATTAATTCAAACAGAAATTTGCACTCATGGTGATTATTTCACCTATAAAGACTGAATAGGAACACAGATCTACTACTGCATTGTCAGAAGTTAACCATCTATTGGGACAAGTGCTACCATCCTTCTTTATGAAAATTCATCCAAGGCCCAGTGCTATCGTACCTAACCGCACAGTGAAATCTGTAATACTTGTATGATTGGAATTTGTCAAATTGCTTCCTCCACAGGTTACACATTGACAGGAACGTGCATCAGTATTTTAGGCTTTAAGATAACGACCAGATAGTTCTTTTGTTGTTGTCGGTTTTGGATTGGGTTGTTCGATGTTTTTTTTAAACAAAGATGATAAATTTGTTGATGCATATGCATCTTTCTCTTGACACTCGATAGGTCTGATCATATACAATCAGTATTTTCAGACAATAATAATCTGTATTTACTCCATAGTGTAGATACTCAGTAGAGTTAACTACAACTACTAGCTTTCATCTCAGTGGAATACAAGGAACAAAGGTAACAGGACAGACTGTTAAAAAGAAGAAAAAAAAGAATCAGGAAAAATCCTTGTTGTTATTGAGGTTGACAATGCATGTGGAAAAGAGCTGAAACATCAGCCCGACAACAGCATGAATATCAAGTAGGTTGTTTCTCCCTATAAATTTATATTTAATGATACTAAGCTTCCATGTTAAGAATACGGCCTGGGTTTTTTTGTTTGTTGTTTCTTTTTACCTGTGGTAGCGGTGGTGCTGGTGCCAGGTTCACATCATTTTGGCATGGAAATTCTCCAACAACAGGGCCTATTTAACATCATCAAAATTAATTCAGGACCATGATTTAATCAATACCTTTTACATAATAAACTGTTTTCTCCTGTAAAACAGGTATCTATATAAAGCACAGGTTATTAATTTTAAATTATCTCTAAATAAGATTTTCTGAACATTTTGCCTTTGAACTGCATGGCTGTCTTTAGAAATACAGAGAGCTTAATCCATGATTTTGATTGAGAACATGTGCTGAGGCAGTGGCTTTTATTCATTTTACTTACATATAAAGAGAATGTAGAAGTAAAAATGACTGATCTACTGATCAATGAATACTTAAAACCATTTTTCGGTACAAACGATGAGAACAATAGTAAATGCTGGTGGTATATGCAACAACAGCACACCTTTTCGTAAGGACATGCCTATGGAAGCGTGGGGGTGATTCTATGTACCGAAATTCTGGAGAGCAACCCCAAGTCTTCCCTGCTTGTCCCCATGCATGCCCTACTCTAGTCTCCCCAAAACTTCTTCCTGTGTCCAATCCACTTGTCTGTAAGAACTTCTAGTCTGAAACTCCTTAAACATCCCTTCTACCTCCATACTCAAATTTCAATCCTAACCTGCACCCTGGGACGTCAAGTACTTCCCCTCCTAAAATCCCAGACCTCTACTGCCTCCGATTCTTTTCCACTCTCAGAGAAAACTGTGTGTCTGCCTCGAGGAAGAAGGGTTGTCTCTGGGAAGCATTTTAGCCTTTGTGTTACTGTCTGGAGGATGGGCACCTGCACTTGGAAGGACACTCATTTGGACTCACAGAAGTGTATTAAAGTCCCAATTTCTCTTTCATAGCAGAAGAGAGGCCACATTCCAGATTAAATGGTTTATGACAGGGGAGAATGTGGAGAAAATACTTTGCTATAATCTCTGTAAAAGTAACCACTTGTTAGGTTGTCCCCCACGCTCACCCTTGCCTCAGGAAGATAGCATTCCAAACAAATAAGAAACCATTCTGGCAATGTGGTTACTACACTTGAGAAAGTTTTCTCTAGATAGGAAAAGTATTAGAGCTTTTTCTATTTAGCAACTATTAGTCATGAAAACTAGAAAGATGCTTTGAAGCAAGTCTTCCTTACTTAGCCGCAGAGTCACAATTTCCACAGTACCATAAAAATCAATCATTCTGAGACTGGAAGGAGTTTCATGACAGGCACACAGCTATCTGCTTCTTTCTGTTCTACAGACAAGCCTATAATAGTCTTGATTTTGCAACCAGTTACATGTTGGAATTTAAGTCCAGTATAAACTGGTGAAAAATCTGCACAAAACAACATAGAAGTTTTTCCTCTCAGGTTATTTATATTAACCAGGAACATTTTTAACCTTTTCCTCCTTGAATTCTAAAATGGAACACCACAGTTTAAAATGGACAGCTAATCTAGATTATTGGAAAATAAAACCTAAATAAACTTTGATCTTCTCAAATTTAAATATGATGTCTGACATTTCCAGAGGATTATTTTTTGTTTGGTTGGTGGGGTTTTTGGGGGTTTTTTTTGGGTTTTGGTTGGTTGGTTGGTTTGTTTTGTTTTTTTCCTTTGAGAATGCTTTAATTGTGGACATTCATTGCTTGTCAGGAAAAAAAACCCCACATTGTATTGGTACTTGCAAATCCTAATTTTGTTTTTCCTCTGTAGGACTACTACAGACAATTACTATTATGTTTGTTTTAAAATATTCTGTTCAAAAAATAAGTGCTATTTTAAGATATATTGTCTTAATATCAATATACTTCAGAATGGCTGAAGAACTTGGTCACAAACATCAATCAGAAAATTTGAAGCACCCATGTGAGGAAAACCTATAAGAAGTAGTACTTTTTCCTCAGGTATATAAACTCCAGAGCTGAGTTTTTCTTATAGTGCATTTGTATCGTATAATATGGCTGTCTTTAACCATAACTTGCTTGAACAGGAACTGATTAAATACTATAATCAGCACAATACTTACAGGAATCCATTTCCCTTGCAAGGACGTGTACTGATACCTTGTGTCTTCTGGGAGCATCTATTGCCAACAGCACCTACAGTAAAAAAATGTCAAGTCTTTCAGATGCAGGAAGTATCACTGAGATATATTTATAAAACATTTAAAGCATTTAAATTTTGATTTGAGAGCATTTAAATTTTGATTTAAGCTTTAAAAAGAGGAATTAATTTTGTGATGTGCCTTCAAATATTGTTAAAAGTATTAGGAATTCAGCTATTAACTATCATAGTATCAGGAACGTAATGTAAAATCTCTGTAGAATTTTCAATCCCTAACACCCTTCTGGATGCACACCACCCTGAACACAACTATGAAACTCAGCTGGAGTAGCTCACCAATCTAGACAGTAATTTCTGCTCTGGAATACCAGATAATCACGTACTGAACATTAGTGTAAGCAAAATAGTATAGATTCCTACAAAACCAGAATGGAGATACTTGAACAAGTTATCATTTATTAAACAACAGCTACTGAAATTCCATTTACTAAGTTTGCATTTGCTGCATATCTTCACCCATGCTATCATATATATCATAATAAAAAACCAAAACAAAACAGATGTCAGTGCTCATTGTGCCATGTAAATAATAACCATTTTTAAGAGTTTTAAGCATTAAGACTAAATCTCCGAAAAATAAAATGATAATGTAAAAATGACCCTGGACAGTGAAAAGGGTAAGACAGAGTACAAAAGAGAAACCATTTTGAAAAGACATTAGTGGCCCCCAAGAGAGGCAAAAAAGAACACAGACACACACATACCCATGCTTCTTCATGGGCAGAAATTTTTCCGTCCAATAATAAGTTCCAAAGACATAAGTCTACATTATTTTTCAAAGTATTCCCTGAGCTATTAGCTGCTCTGTAAGTAATGAACAGCATGTACACTTCACAGTATAGTGAATTATCATTGCTTATGAAATGTGCCACAAAACAGAAAAGAATGAGGCCAAATTTACTTGTGGGGGGGGGGGCACGGGCAGCGGGAACAGGACACCCCCCCAGTATTTCAGTTGCTTATATGAGGTATCTATCTAGCAACTTCATGCTGAGTTGCAATGTGCAATTACTGCATCATTACACTGTTCCTTTATTCTGCCTAACTATGAGAGGAAGAAAAAAAAAGGTGTTGATTTACAGTATACAAATTTAGTATACTTAAAAAAGTATATTTAAAAATACCCGATTCATTCACAATTCAAGCACACAAAATAAGCTCAATCATATGCCGATTGAAGACAACAAATAAAAGAACAAATTTGCAATTTTGGCCAAGCTTGGTCAGAGAGAAGTATGTTTTTTATTCATAAAGAAAGGATAAATGAGACAAGAGGGAAATAAGAGCTGGTAAGGAAAAAAAAACCCACACAACAAAACCCAATTCTTCTCCACAATTTTTACAGTATGCTAGTTGCCATTAAATTAAGTAAGATTTAGGAGAAAAAAAATTATTATTAAGGTATCTGCATCAATCATATCATCTACTTAAAACAGGCATAAGTATATGCTTTCATAGTTTGCACAAATAACACCCAGTTATACCTGCATCTCTTTCCAAGGAACATTTCAACTACATGACTAACTTACCTTGTAGAACTGTATAATATCATCCTTGGTCAGGGTCTTCAGATAAGCCACTTCAACATTATCTAAACAACAACAGTAAAAATTAGAACAAGTCTGCAAAGCATAGCTGGTTATTAGCACACTACTTATTCAAAGTATATTTCTTTCAAATTCGGATGCTGTAATTGACTGCAGATGGTATGCCTTACATTGGTAACTTTTGAGCTGGTACTTGCATCACTAAAAGTGTCAGTGGAAGTTTGGCAGAAAATTATATTTCACTAAGTCCATTTGATTGGACTTACTAAAGCATTCATGTCTAAAGAATTATGTTATTCAGTAGCTAAAGATACACCTACTTCTGTATATTATCTTCAAATCTATGTTACACATTTTCAGTGCAGATTGATTATAGATGGCTTTTATTCACAGTTAGGAAACAGGACAGTAGGATGTACTTTGGCAGGATGTATTTTTAAATAAATGTAAGGAATGGTGCCTACATCATACCTGTTAAGGAATAATCACCTTTAAGATATCTGGGGACAATGTGTCTCAGTGGCTACATTGCTCCATGTAAATTAAACTGTAAT